CCCGCTTGCTCGCTCGCTCGCACGGGTCCGCTCGCCTGAACCAGGCAGGAGCGGCCCTTTGTCTCCTAACTGGTTAAATACAGAATATCCGGGAGATCTTTATGAAATATTTTCCCCCGTCTCATAAATCATCTTGGCACTTCAGCTGATGTTTTAACTCTCTCTCCCTCCTTCGCTCCCTCCCCCCGCTTCCCTGGGTCTACGGAAAGGGCGCCTCCTCGAAGTCCGGGCTGCGCGGCGCGCTCGCCGCGCAGAGAAGCTCCAGCCCGCCTGCAGCCCCGGCGCAGAAGAATACCCTAGGGACCCGCGCCTCCGGACTTTCGGCCGTGGCCTGAGCTAGTGTCAAAAACCTCCCCCACTGCCCTCAACCAACAAGAGACTCCTGTCAGGCCTCCCGGACCGGGGTTTGCCGTGCGCCCTGAGCCCTCAGGCGGGGCGCTGGCCGCGCTCAGCCGGACAAGGTCCTGGGACCCCTCACACTACCAGAGGCCCGGGTCCGCTGGGATCCCGGCGTTGGCTCTCCATCCTGCATCTTCCTGACCCCACTTCCTCGGTGAGATCACTTCTGGGAGAAAAGAAAGGAAAAAGAAACACCTCTCCCCCTCCCGCCCCCTCCCTAGCAGCCCCCACCTCCCTCAAACCGGCGGAGGCAATTAATTCCCTTGGGCCTGAGGTGGAAGGTGCACTGTGGGGCCCCGAAGGTCAGTTTCTTCTTCTGGAGGCCTGCAGATGGCGCTCCCGGGTTTGCTTTGGCCTCAACCCCACGTACACGCACTAACTTCGTGTGGGAGGGGAAAAGAAAACAGAGTCCCAGTCGCCTAGGCGCCTAGTGGGACCCGCTCCCAGTGCCAAGGACTCTCCGTTGGTAGTAGCTGGTACACCCTGGAGCTGAGAGAGGCCCCGAAGAAGGCTTCTCACAGAGGCCAGTTCAGAGCTCAAGCAGCCCTTTGCCCCAAGATTCCTCTGATGTGCACCCAGAAGTTAAGGCTTGAAGTGGGGGGAGGAGGGGAGCGAACAAGTGAACCACTCCTCAGAGGGTGCCTAGGAAGGGCAGATGCGTGGTCACACTCCCAAGAGTGTGAGCTCAGATGACATGGATGTCCCTGTCTTAGACAAGAGGATTGGTCATGTTTTCTAGCAGGAGACTGCACCAAGTGTGCTGGGAGTGTGACCCCACCCCATCTGCCCTTCCTAGGCACCCCCTGGGAAGTGAAGTCCAACTCCCAGGTAGTCCCTCCACTCCAGGACCCTCCCCAGGGCTGCACAGGCTGGGCAGTCCCCCTTCAGCAGGTCCAGCCCCTGGCAGCTTCCCCCCTAGCTTCCTGCTAAGTCTAGAAGCTAAGCAGAGCTTCCTGGTGAGCAGGTGCCACTTGAAGTGACCCTGTGGACCAGGCTCTGCCTTCAGCTAGGGTTCCTGGGTGGAAGGCTGACCTATGGCTTTCTCTCCAGCCAGTGACTCTCGCTTCAACGGCCTCTTTCCTGTTCTTCCCTTTCTTCTTCTATAGAGACTTGTGGAGGTGGGGGTAGGCAAAGGGGAAAAAGGGGTGGGGGGGGAGAAGCAAAAGAAAAGAGACAGAAAGAAAACAACCCAACCCCAAACACAACCCGGGCTCCGACCTGTCAGGGTTGGTTGCATTTCCCCGTCTGCTTCTAAATGAACCTTTTCTCTCTGGTGTTTTCAAAGCGGTCTTTCCACCCCCCAACCTAGGGGCATTTACACTTCAAACAAGGCGCCCGCCTCCCTGCGGAAATTTAAAGGCAAATAAACTTTTGGGGAGTTGCTCTGATACCCATCTCGGGATTTGCTTCATTAGCCGCCTCTGTGCATCTGATCTGCCCAATAAATCTTCCTTGTGGATCTCAGCTCCTTCGCCTGCCCTGCGCCCTTCCCAGCCAGGCTAGCGCGACACCCCGCGTCCCCGGCGTAGTGCCTCCTTCCGTGCGGAGGGCCCGAATGGCTCGGCGCGGGGAAGTGTCCCGGGGGCGACCGCCCGGCGAGTGCACACACGCACAGGCGCCCCAGGTCAAGCCAAGCGGAGACTCGCACCCGCAGCTCCTAAACGCGTTGCTGGATGGACAGGTGGCAAAGGAAGAGCAGCGCCCATGTAGGTCCCCTGCTCCTTCCCTTCCGCTCCCCTTCTGCTTGTTTCGAAGTGTCGCGACCCCACGGGCCCGGTGCTTTTTGTCAATGCCAGGCCAGGCAGCGGTGTGGCGGCCTCCCCTTGGCCTGCCAGGCCCAGGCGCTGGCCGAGCCCTCGCGTAAGAGACTAGGCCACAGGGGGTCTGGGGGTGGGGCAGCCCCGCCCCTCCCCCGCGTCCTGGGCTTGCCTTCCTCCTTCCACCTCCCGGGGAGCGGCAAGGGGCGCCAGGGCCCGGGCTCTAAGGGAGGGGATTAGAAATTCCGAAATTAAATGTATCTCCCCAGGAAATGCTTCCCACAGCGCGGACCAAATTAAACGCATTAAAGTTCAGGGGGGGGGGGGAAGCTGTTTAGAACTGAGGGGGAAAAACTAGTCCGAAGGGAAGAGAGGCAGAAACAAACGGAGGAGGGAGGAGAGGCGGGAGGAGGCCAGGAGCAGCTCTGCCACCAAGCTCTTTTCCTGGATTGTTCCCAGTTTGGGAAGTTACCAACACCACTACCAAAACAGAAAAGTTCCTCGGGAGATCAGCCTCTGGGATGGACGCCGCGGCCCACTTGCCTGCCGGGGGCCGGCGCACCTTCCGAACACGGCAGTGGGGTGGCGTCCACACCCGGGGCCCCTCTTGGCCTCCGCCAGACCAGCTCGCACTGGCCCTCCCTTCCCCCTCCCGGCCCCGCCCCCTCTCGAGCCCTCTGGTCACGTTGGAGGATGGGTGGTTTTTTTTTTTTTGGAAGAGCTTCTGGTACAATATGGAGCACCATGGGCTGCAATTTCACACTCCGCAGCACATTCCCCCTAAAGCTACTTTCTTTTTTTTTTTTCATCTAAGACCCCCTAATTTCTGCCTCCTCGCTGTTTCCCTTGCTCCCTCCCTCCTTCCCTCTTCTTCTTCCTCTTTTGTTCCCAATATTTGGGCTCCCAGGGCACAGCCCTGGGGGCCAGCTCGCTGCACCTCGCCACGCCTGCTCGGCGTGTTGGTCCTGGGCAGACCCGGCGCACGCGCTGGGCCTTTATCTTCCTGCCCCTCCCCCTGTAACCCGACTTCTCTCACCAGAGGTCCCGGCGACCTGCCGGCCCTTCGCAGCTCCTTTGAGAGGTGACGACAATGAGAGCCACTTGGCCACCAAAGCGGTCTCTTAGCGGCACGGGCCTGTCATGTGGCTGCGAACCGTGGGCCATCTGACTGGGGGTCGGGAGAGGGGAAAAAAGTCAAGCCAGGAGGAAGTGGGCCTGCGGTAACAAGGTTGGAGAGAGGTCCAAGTTAGGACAAACGATCCAGAGAAGAGGCCACGGATGCCCCTACAGCTGAGACCTGGACAGCCAGTTCTTCCCCCACCGCACCCCGCAGACATGCAGGGACCTCAACACAGCTGGAAAGGGACAGGTCGCCTGCAGACCATCCAAAGCAGTGGCAATCACCTTGTGCATCCGTTTGCTTCTTTCAGCCTCTGTTTTCTCACCTGTAAAATGGAACTAATCACGCGGCCCTGCCTACACCACGGAGCCAGCCAATGGGAAAGCATTGGGTACCAACACTGCCACAGTAGATGATGGAGTCAAAGTCCAGTCCAGCTTGACATTCTAGGGGACTCCTCACTGCTCCCTTTTCTGTGTTCCTCTGTTCAGGATTCTTGTTTCCATTGATCACAGGCCAAGTTTATCCCTCTATCCATCCTTCTTTTCCACTTCTTCCTGCAGCCGCTTCCCATGCACCAGCGCAGCTGCTAGAGGATCAGTTATACTACAGGCCACCCCCTCTCCCAAGCTGGGCTAATTGTGGTCTCGGGCATGGTCCCCTTAGGGCCTGTCCACCAAAACCCAAAACCTTTGGGAGGAGCTGGCAGGGTCCGGTTCCAAACAAAGAAAGTTGGTCCTCCCAGACCCACAGCCAAACTGCCCCAGCCAGCGCCCTGGGCGGCGACGGCAGGCGCAGCCAGACGACAGAGGTGAGCGGAGGCCAAGGAGGGGGGAGGGGGAGGAAAAGAAAGGGCACGTGAAAAGGGTGCTGAGGGGGGCCCAAGGAGGCTCCTGAGTCTACTGGCCCGCAAAGGGTGGGTTGGGCGAAGGCGAGGTCCCCACCTGGCCCCCTTCTCTCCCCCTCCCCCGCAGGCCTGAGTGAGAGTCCAGGGAGGGAGGATGTCGGCGGCAAAGTAATGATTAACCCCCCTCTCTGCCCGGCCCTGAACTGGCGGCCTGACCGGGCTGTGGTTGGGGGACTCAGTGCGGGCGGACCCGGGACGTGCATACTCAAGGCCGTCGCGATGAAGGGGGCTGCGGAAGGAGGAGACAGGCAGCAGCCAGGGGCAGGCGAGAGGGAACCACGGAGGGCAGGGGAGTGCAGCTTCAGACGCCCGGGCAGAACTGCGAGTCCAGGCCGGCGAGCCGGAGGCAGCAGCCCCGCGTTGGCGAGGGCGCATGGCCGGGCGGCACAGATCCGGAGTTGGAAAGGGGCGGGGAGGACCGAGGCGAGTTTTCTCAGAGTTGTGAGCAGCTACCAAAGCCACTGCCTCGGATCCCTCCGCGGCGCCCGCCCTCCGATCATCCTCTCGCAGCAGCTGTGAGGAGGAGAGGAGCGGGCGGAGATGCGCGCTCGAGCCGGGAGCGGGTAAGGAGGGGAGACCCGCCAACCAGCCTCCGGAGCCGACGGCCAGCCGGGCGCCCCAGTGGCTGGAGACAAAGGACTGGGTCGGAGGGAAGAGGGGAGAACGGGGGGACTGGGTCTGGCTGAGCTGGAGAGATGGCTCAGGAAAAGGTGCTCTCTTAGGGACAGCCGAGGTTTGTGGCCGCACCTAGCGACAGCCCCCAGCCCCCTCCTCCTTCTTGGGCTCCTGGCCCTGGGTCCCCTAACCTCGGCTCCGGCCAGGGCTGTTGATGGGAGTTACTGTGATTGTGGGGGTGGAGTCTCTGGGTATTTGCACCGGCGGTTTAGGCCGGTCAGGGATGGGTTAGGGAGGGATGGACCCTAGCTGTGGAGCTGGACCCTGCCCCAGGGACCTGCGAGCCTCCACCCTCTGCCAGCCGCCACAGAGCAGACCATGCCTGGAATTTGAAACCAAGGGGCTGGATGGTATCCCTTCGAAGCCAAGGGCTAGTTCTCTGTCTAGCGAAGGTGCTTGGGTTTGGTACTTCCAGGGTCACCGCCCCTGGGTTATTTCTTAACTTTCTGTAACTGTTCCTGGAGCAGAGCAGGCCGCAGGTAAAGCTGAGGGTCCGAGACAGGCTGCGCGCCAAGAGTGCTGGGGGGGGGGCGGGGGGAGAACTGGCAGGAGGTCTGGACCCCTGGCTAACGAAACTGAGCAGGAGGGAGGATGAAGCCTCTCTCAATAGCCAAATCAATTAAAGAGACTGTCTGACGGGTCTTCTTGGGGGCCCGGTGAGTATGGGTGAGGGTTCAGTTCTGTGAGTGAGTGAGTGAGTGAGTGAGTGAGTGTGAGCTTCAGTTGGGAGGGTGCCTAAAGTTGGGAGGGTGGAGGGCGGCAGAGGGGTTCTAGGGAACAGCTAGGTTCAGGTGAATCCTCAGGACCTGGGTCCTGGGCCTCCCTCTCCTCCCTCTGTTCTCAGCCCTGGCTGCTGCGAGGCCCAGGCCTCCACACCCTCCTCCGGCGGGCCGACAATCAATCCTGCAGGTCAACCCAGCAATTACTAGTGGGGTGAGGAGGCCTGGCTAAAGAGGGCCGGCAGGCGCCAGGCAGTGTCTCCCCCAGGCTCTGAGGGCCCGGACTGCCCACCACGGAGGAGGAGGCTCTAGGGCAAGAGAGGCCCTAGGCCCTAGGAGGGAGGGGCAGAGCACCACCGATAGGGAGCCAGACAGTCGGCTGGGATGGGCCAGGGGAGAGAAAGGAGAGAAAAGGGGAGGAGGGCAAACAAACCTCTTATTTTATGGTTCTGGGAGGGAAAGGCGGCCAGGGCTGGCCACACAATGGACCCAGCTGCTGCCCCTCTCACCCTACGCCTTTCTTCTCGTTTTTTCTTTCTGACGGAATAGGCTCCCCAAGACTGAATGAAACCCGCATCCTTCCAAACCCGGCTGCAGCGGTTGCGCCCGGGCGTGTGCCAGGCACGCTCGCTTGAGTGCGTGTGTCATTGTCCCAATGAACTAGCCTGAAGGGGCCCGAAGGGCTGTTGGGGCAGACTGTGGGACACGGCCCCCGGGGAAACCTCGCGGAGGTGGGGGGCTGGGGAGGAGATGGAGTCAAAGGCGCGGGAGGGGGCGGAGGAAAGGAAGACGGGGGAGGCGGCTGGGAGGCGAAAGCCTCCTCCCGACCACCTGGAAGGGGACTGCGCTGTCCTTCCCCCAGACCCGCCTTTGCCTCCTGCACAGCGGCCCACAGTTCCCCGCCCTTCCGCAAGCCTGGCGCCGGCCAAAGGGAGGAAGGAAGGACAGAAGGGGCCGGGAGCGCGGTGCTCAGTCCTGCGGCCTGGCGGCCATCCCTCTACCAGCAGGTAGGCGCAGGCCCCCTAGGGACATGGGAAGAGCCCCAGTCCAGTTTCTAGAGGTGAGGTGCTGGAGCACAGGAAATGTGGGGCCTGCTGGGAGCACCAGAATGTCGCCCACCATTCTGTCTTCTCTTGTCTGAGGTGCTGGGGAACAGGCCCAGGGGTCTTTACTGGGAGACTAGCGGATTGCGGTCCCCGCACCTTGAGGCTGTCAGGCTGAGGAAGCTACCAGGAGGAACTGTGGGAAGATGAGGAGCTGGAGCCTGCGCCCCTGGGCAGGGGGAGGGCGGAGGCAGGAAGCTGGGGGAGGCAAACTCCTTTCTGAGAGAGGGAGCCAGGGAGAAGGCCAGTGCAGGAGAGGAAGAAAAGGGGGAGAAAGGTCCCAGGAAAGGCTAGCCATTAGCCCTGTCCTTGGGCTGCATATTTATACGGTCGAGGGGGTGCACAGATGGGCTCTCAATTGAATTCCATCTTCAACACCATCAGAGATTGATTTTGTACTCGCTTTTAATTTTGCCATAATTAATTAGATCATTACAACTGTTTGCTATTGATCTCCCTACTTAAACCTCTGGCGAGGAGGGGTGGCCCAGAGCCCTAAAAGCCCAGAAGGCCACCATTGACACGCCTGGGGGTCCTGGTTCTTCACAGAGGCCAAGGACTCAGGAAGGAGCCATGGGCGGTCCAGGGAATGGGCCAAAGAACAGTTTGGGCATGGGGAACTCCTAGATGATCAGCTCAAAGAATTAGAGGTAGAGTTAGTGGGGGAGTGACAGGGGAGAGTGAGGATTGGGTAAGGCAGAGAGAGAGAGAGAGAGAGAGAGAGAGAGAATCTAGAATTAGGCCATGACCTCTGTGGAATTATTTTAAACACTCTGGCAACTTGATCCAACCTTCTCCCTCCCTGCCCATCCAAAACTACACCTGGGAAACCTGGCTTTCCACCCCTGGACCACACCAAGGCCCCAGTCCAGCCAAGTTGGCAAGCTTGGGGAAGTGGAAGAGGAAGGAAGAAAGGAAGCAGCCTTTTACCCCCTTAACTTTTGGGGGAATCCGACTCTGAGTACCTTCCCCACAGGCTCTCCAGGGGACTGCTACATCTCCCCCTAGACCCACCCCCAGAGAGGTAGGGATTTCCCCAGCTGAGCCTTCTCCCACCTCAATGCTCACCCCTCGATTCATATTCAAATGTATCAGATGCTGCACACACTCTGCACACAGGTGTTTTCCCGAACCACTATTGCGCACGCACCCGCGCGCGCGCGCACACACATCTCACTAGAAATGAAAGCCTCCCTAGTGTTTCCAACTTGGAGGAAGTTTCGCAAAAATATTTACAGGCCGCGAGACGTGGAGAAAGTCGTACACACGCTCAACAGAAAGGAAAAGCAAAGCCAAGTTGGAAAAGTCCCGTTTTCTCGGTAGAAAGTTTGGATGGAAGGTTTAGAAGAGGTGGCGAGGGCAGGCAGAGGCAGCTCCGGTCGCAAACCCAAAAAGGCGGGGTGAGGTCCGCCCTCCGTCTTCCCGCCCCTCCCTCTCAGACGCCCCTTTGCCTGTAACGCTGACGGGTCGCTCCCCACTCTCACCGGCCCGGTCCGCACGCTGTTCCATGCTCTGCTCCCTGCCGCCGCCACCCCGGACCTGGGTCTGGCTGCCCGGCTCCTCAGCGGCCCGACAGTGCGTCTGGCTTTCGCCGCCGCCGCCCGGAGATCTGGGAGCAGCCACCCAAGACCAAGCGGCTCAGATAACCCTGGCTGCCCGCCGCCTGGGGAGTGCGCTGTGCTCGCGCCCGCGCCCGCGTCTGCGCTCACACACCCTGACACGCCACGCCGAGGCACAGGCCCACGAGGAGCAGCCACGCCGGGCTCTCCGCCCCGCGCGCACTCGCCCCGCGGCCCGAGCCAGCCCCAGGCCAACCGAGAGCGCGCCAGAGGCACCCACAGACCGAATCCCCAGTCTAGACGCTGGCACACCCTCCCACCCCGCCCCTCCTCTTCTCTGCACCCTCCCTGCAGTGAGCCGGCCTCGCAGGCTGGGGCACCCTCAGTCTGACTCTTGCACGCCTCAGCTTGGTGCTCAGTCCCTTTCCTCCGGACTGTTAGCAACCACCCCTCCCATCCTACTTTCTGGACCATCGGGTCCCTGAACGGCTACAAACTGGAGCATCTCGGCCTGAGTTCCTTAAAAGCCCTTGGTCAGACCACGCAGTGGCTCCAAAGGAACTTTCTACCACCAATGGGATGGAACCGGACCCTCAATCCCAAACAAGCTCTCCTTCAAAACAAAACAGAACCCCCAAACTACCTCGGAATAACTGGGGAAAGTTCCACCTATTTCCTAAAATGGTGAGTGCACGTGAGTGAGGGGCAACCCTTCTAAATTTCCCATCACACTCTGGAGTCACTCCCTGGTGCCCCCCCAACATTTCTGGCCCCTTGGCCTAAAGTTTCTTGAACCTTCAGACTCACACCCAGATGCTTGCTCTCATCCCCGGATGTCAGCAAAGATCCACTTGGCTTTGCCCCTTGGCGACTTGCCCTTCCAATCTGGATTGGACACCCCACCCACTTCTCTCCTTCTTTTCACAAACCCACCTCATGAGGAAGAACTATTGCCCCCAAACCCACAAGCCACCCCTCTCCCTCACTGGCCCCACTTTCTATACCTACCCACAGGCTCTGGACCTCCCACTCCAGGAAACAGCCCACTCCTCCACCAGGAGTCACAATGGGAGGCCAATCCAGGAAGACCCTCTGTAAACCCCGCCTCCCCCCAAGCCTCAGAATGCTTAAATCCCAAGTCCCAAGCTGAAAGGCATTAAGGGCCTGGGTAGGGGGTTGGTCCCAGCTACAGGCCAGCTTTGGTCAGGGATGAAAGTTGTCCACTAGGATTCCCAGCCACTGAAGGTAAACTTCCCGGAGAAAGATTCTTCAACCAAGGACAAGAAGTCGGAGGGAAGGACCCAAGAGCTCAGGGGGGAAACCTCTCTCATGGTTTCCCAAGTTCAGGCTTTTAAATCTTCCTACAAAAATCATGAATTCCTGTCCTTCCGGAAAACTAACAGCCAAACTAGCATCTTAAAAATACGGGAGTTGTAAAGCATCAGATCTTGACTGTGTTTCTTTTCTTCTTCTTCCTGCCACCCCCATCAAATGGGGATTTTCCAATCCCAGAAGAGCAATACATAAACAACTCAACATTTTTCTCTTTGCTATGCACACTGCAGTATTTTCATAGGCAAAGTGGCAGGGTATTGTGTCACACCAAAGTCACACCTTACCAGGATAGTCACTTCATGACAAGTGAGATGGTCACACATATAGATAGCCTTTCACTGTCAGACTTAGAACCATATCCAATCTCTCTCTCTCTCTCTCTCTCTCTCTCTCTCTCTCTCTCTCTCTCTCTCTTTCTCTCCCTCTCTCACACACACACTGTGACCTGCTGAGTCACAGTACTTGTTTCTTGGTTTCCTCTTCTCTACACCATGATAACCTCCTTGGCATGGCAAGAGATAGTGTGTGTCCATATGCTTTATATAAAGTGTGACATGCCACCACCCACACACATCTTAGTTGCTCTGGCTACTGTCTTATCAGATTCAAACTGACACCCGACAGGCATACGTACAAAGAGAGGCACCCACTCCAGCGATTTTTCATGGGATAGGAGCACACCAGGCTCAGTGTTCCCTGCATGCTCCTAAGCCAGTTGGACACAGTTACCTGGACACAGGGTTTCAGGTTGGGGCAGTGCCAGCGCTGGGGCCTAGGCCCAGGGGAAGGCAGCCCAGGTCATTGTGCTAAGCAGCCTGTGTCACACCAGAGGTGTCATGAGGAGAATAGAGCAGCCTTGGCCCTTTAGCTCTGATATTCTTGGAGCCTTGGGGACTCTGGAAACAGAGGCAAAGGTCCCAACTCTGAGCCTCAGTTTCCTCCCTCAGGCCTGCTCTCTTTGTTTCCCTGGCCCTCACTCTCTGTCCTGCACTGTCTCTTAGGCCCTTTTGCTCATTGCCGGCCCCATTGATTGAAAGTCTCTCTCAGGTTCTCCAAGGAGTCCCAGGAAAAATGATCCGCCAGCCTATTGATTCTTCATTAGAATTACATTTTCACGTGTGCTAAATTGGTTTTAAAAGCTTTTTCTGTTGTTATTGTCTTGTCAGACCCTGCGGTCCAGGGCAAACCAAGTTTAAATGTTGTGGCTTCTTAGGGGGGAAAAAATCACCAGGGCTGGATCTGTGATTATCCACTTTCCTGCTTTATTGTTGTCATGATGACAATTGTGATTTGGTTTAAGTATCTTTAGGGAGAGGGCCCCGCAAGAGGCTGCTTGGGTCAGGCTGGGGCTGGTGGGAGAGAGGCTGGGCATGGGGCCCAGGGATCCCCAGCCCTGGAAAGAAAGACACCAGAGCACATGTCTGTCCCTGAGCGTTAAACTTAGCGTTTGAACCTGTATTAAATGCTGGGGAAGCAGAGGAACTTGTGAAACGCTGTTTTATTTCCTTACTCCCCTTCCAGATCAAACGAAGCAGAAACAGAGAACCCAGAAGTCTTTATTCTCACTGCCTCCCTTTCCCCTAAATAGCTGGGGTGTGCAGGGGGTACTGGTCTGCCTTCCCTAGGATGCTGCTGCAGGAGAAATCACAGCCCCCAGCGAGGCAGCCTTCTTACATCAGATCAGGGAAGAATGTGGGGGATGAGAGAGCAGAGACTGGAACAGAGAGAATAGGAAAGGAGTGAACCAGAGGTGGGTCTGGGGGCCCAGAGTGGTAGAGGTGTGTGTGTGTGTGGGGGGTGTCAAAGGACAGATAACAGAGGAGGAAAGAGAAGAGGCCGAGAAAGGAAATTTACAGAGAAAAAGAGGGAAGGAAATCCACGGGGAAGAAAGAGGGGGAGAGATACTAGGACTGGTAGAGGAGCAAGGCCAGGCCGCTAAGAGGCACCCACCCGACTCACCCCCAAGTCCACCTCTGGCAGCGGGGCTGGCAGCCTGGAGGTGAGGGCGGGCGGGAGTGGGCTCTGGGTGGCGGTGGAGCTGAGGCAGGAGAGCTGAATGTCTCCATGATGTGTTTATCCCCTAATCAGTTCATTAGTTATAAACAACATGACATTAGAAGTTAGGAGGCAGTTGATATTAATTTTTATTTAACTAGTTGATGTTTAATCCGTCACGCCAGGCTGGGTAGCAGCGAGAAAGATCTTCCTGACACAAAACCAGTTAGAACTTCATAAGGCGCAATCAGTGTCCGCGCGTCGAAACAAACAAGAGAGACAAGAGACAGAGAGACTGAGGTAGCCACTCCAGTGGCACAGAAGGCAAGGCGAGGCGGGCGGGAAGAGAGCTACCCCAGGTAGATAGCAGTGCGGGGAGTGGGGCGGTGAACTAGAGAGACTGAAGGGGCGGCGAGGCAGCTCGGTTCAGAAGCTGGTCGCCCTGTACCCGGTCCCCCAGCCCCGCTGGCCCCCCGACGTGACAGTACAAACCCCCGGGGGGGGGGCGGTGGAGGGCGGGAAGAAGGCCTGGTCCAGTCTCACCACTGCGAGCATCGTCGACCTCATCGGCATGGCGGGGCGGCCAGCGGTTAGCGTCGCCGCCTCTCCCAAGTCAGGGGACCAGGAGTCCCTCCCCGCTGCTCCAGGAAGAGGGTACAATCCCGAAAGGGAGGGATCGTGGAAAGGGAGAGAGGTTTGCGCCCAGTGGCTCAAGTTAGACTAAGTTGGCAGCGGGAAGAAAAGAGCGGGGCGTGTGCCGGGGTACCCCGGAGGGCGAAGGGAGAGGAACCTCGAGGGGCTGCTGCCTCCCTCCGAGACTGCGCGTCCCCGCACGCGGGGTTCTGAGAGCAGGGACCAGGCTGTGCTGGCCGCGGGCTCCTGGCCGGCGGTGGCCGGGGCGGGGAGTCAGGTCCCGCGGGGTCTGCCCAGGCCAAACTGTCCCCTCCCACCCTGGGCGCTGGGCTTTTTCCACCGCCACTCGGGGCGGCGGCCGGGCGCTAGCTAGGTCACGGCTTGGTGCGCTGGCCCGGGGGGGTGGGGGGGTGGCTGTAGTTTTCCGCCATCGCGGACGACACTCTTAGGAGCGGCTGGGGCATCCTGGCTGCGGGCGGGCAGACACCCGCCCAGCATCTCACCATTTGCATGGTAATCTGCCTCCACGGCGAAAAGGAAATCGCTGGAATTCCGGAGAAAATTGCCTCTTGCCAGCGGTTAATAGTTAACTCCGCCGGGAAAGTTCCCAGGGAAAGGCCAGCGCCCGGCCGCGAGGCGCGGGGTGGCGGCCTGGGAGGGCCCAGTCCCGGCCTCGCCCCTCCGCGGGGCTCTGCCGCCTCATCGGCCCCCGGGACGCACCCCACCCCACCCCACGCCCCGGCCCGCCAGGAGCACCAGTTATTTCCCCAAAACCCGCCAGGGAGAAATCGGGAGGCCCTGCCTGATTCGGGGGCGCAGTTCGGCACCTGATTCCGCCGAGGGAGGCGAATTCATCACCGCGGCGGAGGCGGCGGGGAGCCCCGCCCGAGCCCGGCCGCCCGGAGAGCAACCTAGTGATTCAGCGAGACTAGGCGTCCCCCCAGCCCTGGACTCGGGCGGCTCGGGGAGGGAGCCCCGAAAAAGAGA